GAAAAGAAATTAATGATATCATTCTATCTTGTATAATTTATCTTTGTAATTCAGTAGCTCAAAAACCCTGCTTTACACTAAAATTCTCTGTAAAAATACCTTTTCCTGGGCCACAGTCATTCTCCTGACTGTAGTGAGAGTTACTTAGAAAGTTCAAAATTGATGGGATGTTACACTGAAATGTTCTATATAGAACAGTTCAACAGGTCAGCTAGAGAGGAACTCAGATTGGGGGAATACAGTGAATATGTAGTCCCTAGGTAGAGTAGAGGCAGGTGAGATGAGGGTGGTCACTAGAGTCTCTTTCAAAAAGCTGAAAAATTCTTCTTAGTAAATCTGGTGATGTATAGTCTATAGGATCTAAGTAAATGGGGTGCTGAGCTTTTCCTGTCTATAGAAAATTTCTGAAATAACTGTGTCAAAATCTGGTAGGTAGCAGGACACACCGTGGCACAGTGGTAACTCAACATTCTGTGAGGCTGACCCACACGAGAAAGTTCTGGGATCACGTCTGATGCCTCCTTGAACATGCCAAAAGTGTGTCCACACATCTGGTTGGAGCTGGTGGTAGGTAGACCGTGACAGAAGATCCTGTTGGGCTTGCTCTCTCATGGAAGAAAGTTATAAATGAACTAGAAAACAAACAAACAAACAAAAAGCAAGAAGACCGGTAGATGGAAGATACCTTTTAAATTTTTTAATTAATGCTTTTTTTTTTTTTTTCAAGTGAAACAAGCATTCCATGGTTAGGTAAGGGGCTGAACCAGCACAGGCTCTTGGATACTTCTAGAAAGACCCCCAAGTGCCATAGAAGATATAGGGAGATTTATGGATCTTGGAGCAGTCTTCAGACACTAACACAAAAGCTTTTAAGAAACCTTTGAGTAGGAAGATGGTTGGGTTCTTGCTTAAATGAGGCAAATTAGGCCCAGTAGGGGAGAGAACCAGTGCTCTAGGAGAGTGTTAGCTGACAAAGAATCCTTCCACACTAAAACAAAAGCTTTTAAGAAACCTGTGAGTAGGAAGATCATTGGGTTTTTGTATAGATGTGGCAAATTAGGCCCAGTGGGGGAGAGAACCAGTGCCCTAGAAGAGTGTTAGCTGAGAAAGAACTCTTGGGGTGTGCCCTTTCCTTTCCCTCCTGCTTCCCTAAGAAAGTCCTTGCCTGCTTTGATCCAGCCATGGGACAAAAGAGCTCTTGTGCAACCATGCGTGGGAGGTACCATGACCAACACAATACTGGGCCTGGCTAGGGGAAGTGTGGCACAGGCTGCACTGAGTTGGGCTTCTGAGTATCTCTTCCCTGTCTCACCAGCCTGTCTACCTTGTGTGATGGCTACTATAATAAGGATACAGGAGCCAGCAGATGGAATAGCAGTTATGTTAATGGACTTCTACATGGCTGACTGTAGTTTGAGTCCTGGACCCAGTGGCTTGAAACTCACCTGGGCACGTGTGCATGTGTGCCCAAGATCCCATGAGAAGAATGGAGGAGAAGGGATTGGCAATGACCATCTCCTGGGGGTGATTCCTCAGTTTCCTTCTCACTGGCTCTGTCTCTGTCTGTCTCCAGAGAACACACATGCTCTAAGGCAAAAACCTCTTAAAAAAAAAAAAAAAAGAAAGGATACAGTAGTTATTTAGTCCATTAAAAAAGGTGATTACAAAGAGAAATAATAAAAGTTTACTTGTTTTCTTTAAGTATACTAATTTTTTTTTTGAGAAGTTTTTGCTATAGGGTGCGTGTGCTCGCCAGGCAGACAGAGAGAGACAGAGAGACAGAAAGCGAGAAATCATCCCCCAGGGGGGATGGTCATGCCACAATTCCTTCTCCTCCATTCTTCTCTCGGGATCTTGGGCACGCATGCACACATGCCCGACGTGAGTTCTAAGCCACCGGGTCCGGGACGCGAACCACGGTCGACTACGTGGGAGTCCAGCGACATACCCATTATGCTAACTGCTGGTTCCCTAAATATACTATTGATTAGCTATACAAAGGTACTTTTTTTTTGGTTTGTTTTTAGATTTTTTTCTATAGGGTGCATGCACTCACAGGAAAGACAGAGACAGAGAAAAAGGGAAAATGAGAAATGACTCCCTAGGGAGTGGCCATGCTTCAATACTTACTTTCTATTTTCCTCTAGAAAATTTTGGCATGCACACATATATACCTGGCTTGTTTTTCAAGCCACGGGGTCTGGGACTTAAACCATGGAGTCAGCCTATGGGATCCAGCTACCTTAACTACCACACCATTTGTTGGCCCTACAAAGGTACATTTTAAAAGAAATCTAGTGATATAAAACCGAGATATGGTATATTTTTTAAAACTGTTCTATTGATGTAAGACCAAAGTCTTACAAGTTATATCATCTCTCTTGCACAAACCACCCTGCTTTGTGTAGCTATTATTTTCATTTTTGATTCTTCAAAATGAACTTAAAGTTGTAAAACATTTGAGAATCAATATGAAAAAGATTGCCTCTATATTTTTATGATACATGTTGAGTATGCCTTATACAAAATGTTTGGGAGCAGAAATGTTGCCGATATCAGATTTTGGGGAATTTGGAAATATTTGCATATACATGAGGTATCCTTAGGATAGGATCCAAGCCTAAACACATTTATTTATATTTCATATATACCAAACACATAGCCTGAAGGTAAATTTATACATTAATTTGATATCTCAGCATTTTGACTGCAACTTGTCACCTGGGATTAGATGTAAACTTTTCCATTTGTGACACTATGGCAGTGCTAAAAAGTTCTGGGTTTTGTAGCATTTTGGACTTTGGATTTGCAGACTAGGGCTGTTTAACCTGTCTTTTTCCATTATTAAAAATAATTATATGACTTATTCATTTGGCTGAATTGAATTATCTTTGAAAAACTCACAATTGATATTTTACTCCCAAAAGTTTATCTTTATAGGAATAACTTTTTTCTTTTCTAATTCATATTTCATCAGTTTAAATAACATTTAACTCAATTAATGTTCATAAACAGGTTTGGGCAAAGCAAACTAATCTTGGTAGTTGTACTCATTTGATGGGAGCAGAAGTTTACATGTATGAGAATAGCTTACTAATTTCAAACATTTAACATCCCATGGACACCTCCTAAATTTTCAGAGGAAATGAAAAGAATATTTTTCTCTGGTGCTTTATTTAAAATAGATGTTACCTATTGTGCCAGACTACCTGGAAGTAAAAAATGAATGCAGAGGAAAAAATAATGAGGCTTCTGTAGAGAATAAGCATTATTTAAACAAATAAAAGAATAATACACAGAATAATCTCTAGCAGAAAAAGTAAAAAATAACAACATACATAAAATAAACACTGAATCTTCTGAGAGGGAATGGGGAAGATTAGGAGATGTAGGAAGAAGAGTTATGTAAATGAAGCAAATGGCAATTTTTGGTGTAAGATATTTACTTGTCAATATAACACAAAAATTGTTTGCATAACAGAGTGGTTACAGACAAAAATTAATATTATGCAGAAATTTTAAGCATCAGTAGAGAATAAAGAGAGAGTAGGATGATAGAAAAGTTAACAAACATAAAAGATAAAATGTAACCATATACCAAAAAAGAAAAAGAATAGAGAGAAAATAATATTTGAAAAATAACTGTCATTATTTCCCTGTAAATGAAGTAACTTATGAATCCTCAGATAGAAAGAGTACAGAGAAACTTAAGCAGAATAGGTGAGAACACCCCTCCCATACATCCACACATTATATAGTAAATTTTTATATTATAAAACACAAATAAAAATTTCTAAAACTTTCCAGAGAAATATTGCAGATCACCTACAAAATAATAAAAAAATCATATTAACACTAGACTTTGTAACAGGGATAATAGAATCAGGAAGACAAACAAGTCATCCTTGAAGGGAAAGAATTTTGAATATTATATTTCTACAGCCAAATAAACTATTATTTAAATATTAGGATGAAATAAACATCCTCAGATATATAAGGTTTTAGGTTATTCATCTCATAGGGACACTTACAAAAGCAAAGGAAGAGCAAACTCTTTTCTTTGGAGAGGTTTTTGTTATAGGGTGCGTGCGCTTGCCAGATAGACAGAGAGAGACAGAAAGTGAGAAATCACCCCTCAAGGGGGATGGCCATGCCGCAATCCCTT